GCAGTGTTACTGTACCTCTTCCCACTGGTGGATGTACCGGATGAGCCTGGATAGCCGGAGCAGGCGCAGCAGGCTGAGGATCTTGGTGAAGCGGACGATCCTGAGGGCCCGGGCGGTGCGGTACACCTCCGAGTCCACGTGGGTCTCCAGGTCCACCATCAGGAAGATGTAGTCGACGGGAATGGACGAGATGAAGTCCACCAGGAACCAGCTCTTCAGGTAGCGCAGCTTGATGGCGCGGGGGTCCAGGATGATCTCTGTGTTGTCCTCCTTGACGATGCCCGTGCGGAAGTTGAGCACCAGGTCGACCAGGAACAGGGTGTCGGAGACGACGTTGAAGACGATCCAGGGCGGTGTGTTCTCGTCCTTAAAGAAGGTGATGCCGACCGGCAGGATGATGAGGTTCCCAACCATGAGCAGCAACATGATCAAGTCCCAGTAAAACCTGCAAGAGACAGGGGTTAATACACACAGTACTGAGAGAGAGGGGTTAATACACACAGTACTGAGAGAGAGGGGTTAATACACACAGTACTGAGAGAGAGGGGTTAATCCATCCATCCGTCATTCCTCCATCATCCTTCCATCTGTCCCTCCCTCAATCATCTCTAGATCATCCCTCTATCTGTCTCTCCCTCCCTCCATCATCCCTCAATCTGTCTGTCACCCATTCAGCATCTGTGAATCTATCCATCATCCATTCATCTTGTTGTCCATTCCTCTATCATCCATCCATCCATTTGCACATTCCTCATCCATCATCCCTCCATCACCCCTCCACCCATGGTCTGTCCACCCAGCTCCGTCCACTGTCCACCTATCACTTGTCCCTCTGCATCTTCAGACAGCAGTAGCTGAGCTGTCCCCCTCCAGCACCGCTCCCTACTGACCAGTTTACTGCAATCCGCACAGCGCGCTCGGTTGCTCGGGTCTGGCAGTGCTGGCCGTGGTGCTGAACTCTGCACAGTGAGGACAGACTGGCAGGGCAAGCAGACAGACGGGCAGATGGACAGACAGAGCGACGAGACAGATGGACCGATGACAGACAGATGGATAGACAGTCAGATGGACACACAGACAGATGGAGACACAGACGGACAGAGAGATGGACAGACAAAGAGACAAGACAGATGGACATATGGACAGACAGACACACAGATGGACAGACGGGCAGGCAGACGGACAGACAGGCAGGCAGGTGGACAGACAGACAGGCAGACGGACAGGCTCTGCTCCCTCTCTGCCCGGCCCGGCCCAGCCCGGCCCGGCCCAGTTACCTGAAGTCGCTGTAGGGGTGGATGATCCAGAAGCCGGCGGACTTGACGCGCTCCTGCTCGATCTCCACGGCCTTGTGGCTGCCGAACATGCGCAGCGAGAACTTGTTGACGCCGGGCTGCAGCATGGCGCCGAACTGCCGCTGCATGAAGGTGGACTGGTTGGAGTAGCTGTAG